ATTCTACAGAGCAGGTTTAATTGAAACGTCAATAAGTAAAGGGACGCGATATCACTACAATAAACCGTACCTCAAAGCTATCGGAGACGTTTCTGTTTCCTTGCAATTAGTGCGCACATTCTAAACATTTTTGTACCGTTTGGACTTGCACAGTCACTCACTGCGGTATATACAGGTTGTTTATTTTAACTTGTGACAGAATGTTAAAAAAAAAGGTGGTGAACCCTACATATGTATTGTCTTCACTGTGGATTTAACGAGCTCAGCGGACGCTAAACTGGACAATCTTCATATCTCGATCCATCGGCTAGTTAACTAAACTTTCCTAATGAACTTTTAAGTATTAGACAAGTGAGTAATGTTCAGATATACTTATTTCAAAGCTCGAAGCGCTTCGTCGCGGCGTAATGCCATCCAATGCATTGTGGGAATCAGTTGGCAGCAAAATTCATACACGCTCCGCTCCTGGCCGACAAGCTCCTGGCCGACAAAACAAAAAAAAAACTTCCCGGTATATGTATATATATATATATATATATATATATATATATATATATATATATATATATATATATATATATATATATATATATATATATACCGGGTGTTTTTTTCTTTCTTTTTTTTATTCTTGCAAATTTCTTTAAAAAAGCGCCATGAAAGCTACATTTATGGGGTTTGTGCGAGTGACTTATATGCCCAGAGGGACATTATGTGGGTGGCTAATCTTTGCGATAAGTCGGCTAATTAAATAAAATGCACTAATTAACTTTTTAATTACTGAAAATAGACATATGGTTCCAATTAGAAGCTTGCTGAGCGTTATCGAAAACCAATGAATCAGTCATTTTCAGAAACACTTTCTTTGAGCGCGTGAGAAGCGTAGTAGTGCACTAAAGTTACCACTCGTGGCAGGTACAAGGCTATCGGTTGCGGTATGGCGGCCGCGCTATTTTTCCGTCTCTTTTCAAGCCCCAGCCTTGTACCTGCTCCACGAGTGGTAATTTCAGCGCACTGTTGTGCTTCTCACGCGCTCAAACCCTTCTAAACATTACTGATTTAGAGGTTTCGGACGACGCTCAGCAAATTTCTAATTGGAACCATATGACTAGTTTCATTAATTAAAAAGTTAATTAACGAATTTTAATTAATTATAAGACTTATTTCAAAGAGTAGCCAACCCCATTATATCCCCCTCGGCGTATAACTAACTCCCTAAAACGACCGCAAAAATCGGTTTCTTAACCTATCGCGTTCCTATTTTGTACAGTGTTGGGCACAGGTGGTGCATTTTTTTCTGTAAAATTCGCAAAACGCGAACTTACCTGAGGAAAAAGTAAAAAAAGAAAAAGGCTTAACTCCTATGGAAACTCAGCGAAGCCACCAGTCTTCAAACCATAGGGCGCCCTATGGTTTGGAGAGCGATGCCTGTGCAGCGTTCGCCTTCTCTCATGACGCCATCTCATTCAGCGGTACGGCTTTGTTATCGAGGAGGTGTCGGCTTTAGTCAGTGCTCAAAATGGGAGAGGGCTCCTGCGTGCCCGAACCTTTGACTGCTTTGCCAAGAAAAGTTGTCTTCGGGATTAGAAATTCAGATCGAGGGGGACTGCACCTTCAAACATCACTGGTTGGCAGTGTGCTTATAGTGATACTCACTGAAGTTGTTGCCAACAAGCTTATGTCGCCCCAGCACAATGCTCAGTTCTTGCGGTCACGTGATCAACGAAAAGTTGTAAGGCACCTGAGACGACGCGGCCCGATTTCGAAGAGTCGGAAACTTGCGCATGTGACCACACGCCAAGGGCGGTGCTTAAACTCATCCTCACCTCGTCGAGTAACATTCTCCTCAACGATATCCGAAAAGAGAAACATGATGCATTGTCAATGAGGAATAAAACAATAAAATATTTATTGCTGAGTAGCGTTTTTCCCTGGTATAAATTCCACACGTGTCCGCAACGCCAGTTTTTGTTTTCACGATATCAGCTGTAGGTGGACGACGGCTCAAAGAAATTTTGTCTTTCTCAGTTATATTTTGATCCAAACTTCATGTTCTCACGAAGGTTTAGCTTTCCGCGATACATAGTTTCTTCACCCTGGACTGAAAACACGAACAACTAGAGGCCGTGCAAACGAAGACCGTGCGCTTTTTTCTATAACTAGTATATTGTTCCCAATTTCGTGATGAGTTAGAGCACCAAATTGTGTCGACGATCTAGAATGGACCTTCTGTCGAGACGTCGTAGGACTAATCGACTAATTGTGTAAATAGAATTGTTGGGGTTCCGTGTTTTGGGAGTTTATTTCTCGCGAAATTCGGAGAATGTTTTTCGGAGTTTATTTTTCGATGGGGAGTCGGGGTTTATCGAATTTTATTTTTGTTAGATTCCCAACCCTTTAAAATTCGCAGTTTATTTTACCGCGTAAACTGTAAAAATTCGAAAACATAATAAATACCGTCCGGGTACCATGACCCGTTGACCCAAAGAAATTTCGACGTGCTAAAAAGCAAACCCCTTTTTGTCAGTAATTCTCATTTTCACAGGAAACTGGAGCGTGATCTCTTCAAGATCACTAAAATTGTGCTCTTATAAAGTTTAGTTGTAGACCTCCTTCTTTTTTGCTGTTCATTTTGTCGGTATAACCTCGAAATTCGGAGTTTTTCGGATAAATCGAAATCGACAAAAAATTTACCGCCGAATGTTTTTTCAATTTTTTTCGGATTTATCTCAAAACACGGAATTCTAATTGTTCTTCGTGAATGACCCAGTCTGTCGTTTCACAAATTTTGCAATCAATACCTTACGTCAGACACGTAACAAACATCCACACGCGATTTTCGTACATTACTTGCGTAACGAGTGTAAGACAATTATTTTCCGCCACACCATTAACGAAAGGAACAGTATTCCCGCTAACTTTATGAGTTCCTCGTCCATTTAATAATTTTCGACAGCACTTGAGTGTTATTGCGACAATTGTCCCCTGGCCGCATATCTTACCATCACGAACCGCGTTAAAGTAGCTTTTAGGACCTTTTTTTTTAAAAAAAAGAGCTGGCAGTATCACAATACAAATATATCGCGATAGTATTTTAGCGATACTTTCGAGTCTCTGTATCTCTGTATCAAGATACATCTGAAAAACGTATTTGTATCCCAGCAGTTAAATAATTTATAATGTATCGGTTGAATCGCGATACTTTGGCAGAATTAGGTATCTCGTCACATTTGTTGCCGTTTTTTACGATAACTTAAAAAATAAAAATATGTTTGGTGCAAGGTGCTTCAGAATTGATAATATGAATCCACCCTATAACATATTTCTACAATATAGTTCGCTCTACTAAATTAGAAAAAGTGGAAGTCTCTGTGAGCGGAACTTATTTTGTAATTCTCAAAAAAAAACCTTCTTTAAACCTGTTTTTTTTTTTTAATGTTGAAGACTCATGAACATTTGAGAAAAGAACTGGTTGAAAGAAGGTCACTTTCAAGATTTACGAAAGAAGCCCCTGTGGCAAATCCTCTACTTTTTGCACTGTAGTAGAGCGAACACTGTAAAGGAGTCGAGTGTAGAAAAGGTACAGATTTGTAGTTAAATCCACCCACATCAGGGGTAACTCAGAAGCACATAAGACGGTAGAATAGCGCCCTTACGGGAGAATAGGATTTATTTCGTGCAGACGCTTTTTGTCAAGCCCGGCACTCAGTCTTTAGAGTTCAATAACTTTGTGGTTTACCAGGAATGATATGTTGTTTTTTGTTTTTTTTCTAGCCAAGGGGATATGCATAAAATAACACAAAGAGGAGCACAAGCATATATTACCGTTTGTATTCATCACGAACTACACCCTCCCCACGTAGCCCCTTTCGGGAACAGATTATCTCTAAATATCTGCATCTGTACCCCGGAATACTTTTTCGCCGTTTTTGCAGAAGTATATCTCAGGGATATCCCGGTGCATAAAAGACAAATGTATCGAAGTATTTGTATTTTGGGCCTTATATAGATGTATCTCACTATTTGAATTCGCAAATATTTTTGAAGTATTTCTGACCAACACTGTTAAAAACAAATTTGTAAAAAAAAACTCGCATAATGCTTTAAACATACGACGAAGCTTATCTAATTTATATGCAGGGTGTCACAAAAAAGATTACACTGTCCTTTTTGCCGCAAAGAGGCATCGCCGAACGCTCATTCTCCGCCCAAAGGTAGCGCTAGCAGTCACAACCAGACGCCAAAGTTTCAGCCCGATCCGATAACTTAATCCAAAGTTATAAGTGATTACTGAAAATTTCAATGGGAAAATGGCGGGCGACGGAGTTTTCAAACACACTGGGCTCAATGGCACCAGAAACCTAAAACGGGCAAAAATGGTCTGGATTTTTCCATTGAAATTTTGAGAAACTCACTTATAACTTTTAATTAAGTTATTGGATCGGGCTGAAACTTTGGCTTCTGGTTGTGACCTCTAGCGGAGAATGAGCGTTCGGCGATGCCTAGTTTATTTTGTGGTAAAAAAAGACAGTGTAAATTTTCTTTTGTGATACCCTGTATGTGAACATTTGCTCCCTGCTTACTCGGAGGGCTGCCGGCATGCGAAAGTAAATGTTTTGTGAGATCAATTTTGCATTTTTGAGGGCCTATTTCAAACAGACATAACAAGGATGATACGACGGAAATTGAAACCGCGACCAAGTGATTTTTAGACTGATATATCAACCGAGCTAAGCTCAGCAAATGGTCTGAGAGCAACTGTGGAATCTGCAGGAACGTGAGGAAGAGCTGCGCTCCGAAGTTCGTGATTTTTGCCCAACATATACTGGACTCAACACTCTTTGTCAGCATGATCAAGCTTGTGTAATTTTTCCAAAGAAATTGCAAGATGTAGCCAAACGAGTCTTAGGAACCGTGCAGGTAAAATCGTTTATTATCCTGATATTCCTCTCGTCCTGAGAAGAGTTTATTTTAAAACCGAGTGCAATAATTAGCGAATTTCACGTGTCTTGATAGTCTTTGCACTCAGGAGTTGGAACTCTGACACACTTGTCACGACTCGAAATAGAACGCCATTGTGAGCCACACACTTGAGTGGCGTTCCCTTGGCATTCGTCGTCATCCGGCACAGTAGAACCAATATTTTTACGCCAAATACCACATGCTCTCTTGCCTGGTGTCACTGAAATATAAAAACATATATAAAGAAAAATCGGTAAATAAATAGTAAATTAGCGGCACTCAATTTTAAGTAATATTTTCCAAACTTGAAACGCCATTCAAAGCAAAGGTATAGTAGTGATAAAGATATCTTCGTGTTATCTCTTCTAGCAATTTCAATGCTGAAAAACATAAACGCCCGGGCTTGTTGTATCTAATTTTTTTTAAACAGCAAGGCCACTGCACTAATACTTTTACGTCAGGTAAGGAAGGCCAACGTTGAGCGCAGGCTGGGAACGATAGCTGGTCCAGTATTTGGCCGGGACTGGAACTCAGTCAGTGATAACAAAAGTCCCAGGCGAATTCTGACAAATTCCTCAAGCTCAATATTTCTCCATGTTGTACTTCTATAGATGACGTAAAGCATTAAGAATTTTCGACGAAGAAATAATAGAATGGGAAACATTGCGCACTCTTTGGATTGAAAGAAAAAGCATAAAGCGAAGCCTGGAAATTTGTGACATAAAAACGCGGGAATACTTAACTATTTGATAATTAAAAAGGTCGAACAATATTTACTTCCACTTAGTTTGTCAAATAAGAACTAAATGAAAAAGAATTCTATCTTTTCGCCCCAGCAGAAGAAAGTCGAAATTATTTGGGTCCCCGCAGGGGGCACCTGTGAAAGCAGGTGTTTGGAGAGTGGCGTCTCCACGGACCCCAAGCCATGCGGGTTCGCCCGCCCACGTCTGGCTGTGCGTGGCTTTCCCGTGTCCGGGGAAAAGGGCATCCTGGTGGTTGAGCCGAGCCCGGGGTAGGTTTGGACCCTTCGGGGCGCCCCGGGTGAGGCAATACACCACTTCGGCCCCCGCTCTCGTAGACGGGAGTCCTGGTAAGGCCCGGCCAGGATGATTCAGTCTAGTCGCCACTCCTACTATCTCCTCCTATGTTTCTCTTTTCTCTGCTCTTCTTTTATTCCTTTTCACCTTCTTTGGCGGCAAGGGCTAACCTTTGGTGGCGATAGACCCCTTGTCCGGATCCACACTAGGTTATAGTGCCTGGGCAGCACTGGTAGTGTAATGTTGTCAGCAAAGCCATATTTGTTATGAGACATTGCCTACCCCCGTGTTGGGCTCCGTGGTGGGTGGTGCACCCGGGGCACAGAAATTCTCTCCCTTCTTTATGGGTACTAAACAAAAAACCTTTCTTAATCGGCCCCCCAAAAGGGGCCGCACCGAAGTACTTGCGATTAATCCTACTAGATCTGCAGAAAAATTTCCAAGATTCTTGGTGATGCACTCTGAGAGTGAGAAACCTTTGGCGAAACTGTCACCATTCCTTGTTTCCAATACACTTGAGCCCATTGTTGGAAAGAACTTCTCTGCCAAAAAAATGACATCCGGAGATCTGCTCATCGAGATTAAAACCAGTGAACAGTGCACAACACTCCTATTACTAAATTCAGTTTCTGACTATAAAGTGACAGTCACTCCCCACCGACAGTGAACACAGTAAAAGGTGTGATTTCTGAAGATGACCTCCTCGAAAGTACAGAAGATGAACTCGTAAATGACCTCAGTGACCAAAGAGTTGTCGCTGCAAAGCGAATCTCCCTTCGTCGAGAGGGGCAGGAGATCAAAAGAAAACATGTCATTTTGACTTTCGAGTTGAGCAAAGTTCCCGAGTCAATCAAGGCTGGGTATTTAAACTGTAGAGTATGGCCAGATGTGCCGAATCCCAGGAGATTTTTTCATTGCCAGAGGTTCGGCCATAGTGCCCAGAGCTGCAGGGGCAAGACCACGTGCGCCAAGTGCGGTCAGAATGATCACCCGTCGGACAACTGCGCAAACCCACCACACTGCGTCAACTGCGGCTACCACACGCCGCTTACTCCCGTTCGTGTAAAAAATAGAAAGAAGAAAAGGAAATAATTACCCTCAAAGTAAAAGAAAACATCTCGTTTCCTGAGGCCAGGAAGCGACTTTCTTTTCTACAGGAAGGATCCTTCGCTACGGTAACACGCACAGGGGGCGTGTCACCGAAAACCTCGGTGGGAACCCAGGCCTGTCCCAAAGACCTAGCAGCCCCACCAACACCCCCTGCCCCCCCAAGGTCGGCTCCACGACCACATTTGTCGTTGGAGCCGAAAGGTTCACAGTGCCTGAATGGTGCTGCCGCGCCTCTCTTAAAGGAGGCAATGGACACCATGGCACCAAAGGAGGTATCACCTCCAAAGGCATCAGGGGTGGTGCCTCTCGCACCACCCTCGGTCCCTAAAGAGGGTCCGTCGCAGACCACCTCCTCTAAGGAGCTGGAGCGGACACCCTCGTCGTCTGCTCGCTCTTCAGGCCGAGGCAAGGCTTTGCCCACTCTCGCCTCGACCAGCTCTCGAAAGCCTGGCCAGCTGGACGAGGCATACTCGACCGCAAGCCAGCAGTCAGTAGATGAAATGATGGATGAGAGCGTGCCACCCTCTGACGACGACCTGGTCCCTTCAGGTGCTGAGTCATCAGTACCTTTTCAGGTCGTAGAAAAGAAAAAGAAAAATAAACTTCCTAGAATTTTGCCCCCAAAGGGATCGTAGTCCCTTTAGAAATGAATCATAAGCAAGAGTTCACTTAGTTATCTTGCGGTGTCCTAAAGGCCAGTTATAATTTTAATTTTAATCTCCAGTTTTAATCTTCACCATGTCTCTGTTTTTCCAGTGGAACTGTCGTGGGCTTTTTTGTAATTATGATGATGTCACTTTTTTATTAGACGAACACCGCCCTGCTGCCTTCTGTCTGCAGGAGACGCATCTTAAAGAAACTAGGTCAAATCTACTCCGCCATTATCAAGTGTTTAGAAAAGATAGGTTGCACTCCTCTGTGGCGTCGGGTGGTGCTGCTGTAGTTACCCAGCGCACAACCCTATCTACCGAAGTGGCTCTATACACCACTCTTGAGGCTGTGGTTGCCGGGTACTGCTAGACCGGGTGATTACTGTTTGTTCAGTGTACATATCACGGGGATACCAGGAGCAGTACGAAGAGCTAGAGGATCTTGTTAGTCAGCTCCCGGCTCCATACTTAATTTTAGGCGATTTTAATGCACACAACCCATTGTGGGGGAATGGTAAACGGGATGCTAGAGGAGAACTTGTTGAACGTTTTCTTTTTTCCACGGGATTGTGCTTACTTAACACTAAAGAAGCCACACACTTTATTTCAGCGACCAGGACTTTTACTTCCATCGACCTTTCTATCTGCCATCCTTCACTATACTCGCTGTTTTCATGGAGGGTCATCCCAAACCCATATGGAAGTGATCACTTTCCAATAGTTTTAGAGTTTAACAGTCCTCCTGCTGGTCTTCAAACGCGTACCCCTCGTTGGAAGTTTGAGAGGGCTGACTGGGCTACATTTACAGACTCTTCAGTTTTAGCTTGTTCATCACTTGATGATCTTTCCATCGATGATGTCCCTCTGCATATCACTCGACACATATTACAGGCCGCAATCATCGCCATTCCCATGACGTCCTCGCATCTTCCAAAAAGGCCGAAGGCGTGGTGGAACAAAGACTGCCGCCAGGCAAAAAAGGAACAGAACCGTGCATGGGGTATCTTTAGGCGTTACCCTACTTCAAGTAATCTGATTGGTTTTAAAAGAAAAAGGGCCCAGGCAAGGTTTATTCGAAGACAAGCCAAGCGGCAAAGCTTTAGAGGATATGCCTCTTCAATCAATAGTAGTGCATCTATAAAGGAAGTTTGGGACCGCGTGCATAAAATTGAGGATTCCTATGGCGCTTTCTCTGCCCCACTCTTGTGCCGGAATGGAATATGTCCTGCAAGCCTTGACGAACAGGCTGACATTCTTGGTGAGCACTTCGAATTTGTTTCTAGTTCCGAACACTATACGCAATCATTTAGGCGGCATAAGCTACATGCAGAAAAAAAGATTGTGCCTACGACCGGTGGTTTGCAAGAGCCTTATAACTCTCTTTTCATGCTGCACGAACTGCAGATGGCTCTCGATTCATCCGAACAGACTGCCCCTGGACCGGACGGTATCCACTATCAAATGCTTCAGCACTTTCATCCATCTACTCTAGAGCTCATCTTGTATCTTTTCAACCGAGTTTGGGTCGAGGGTCTTTTCCCATATTCCAGGAAGGCTGCCGTCATTATCCCCCTTTTAAAGCCAGGAAAAGATCCTGCCTGCGCCTCCAGCTTCAGGCCTATAGCACTAACTAGCTGTCTTTCGAAGACATTAGAAAGGAGGATCAACAGAAGGCTGATGTTTTATTTGGAGAGTAATAATCTTCTTGACAGGCACCAACGTGGCTTTCGTTCAGGACGATCCACGGTCGACCAGCTAGTTCGCTTTGAGACTGTTGTGCGAGAGGCATTTGTAGATAAGCAGCATTGTGTCTCTGTCTTTTTTGACCTGGAAAAGGCATTTGATACAGCCTGGCGTCATGGCATACTGCAGGATCTGTTCAGCTTAGGTGTACAGGGCCGAATGTTAAGTGGCATTCAGAGTTATCTCCAAAACCGCACTTTTCGCATAAAGCTTGGGACAACTTTTTCTAAAAAATTTACGCAGCAAAATGGAGTACCTCAAGGTGGTGTACTTCGCGTCACTCTTTTTATTGTGAAGATGAACTCAGTTGTCCGCGCGATAGCTCCATCTGTTCAGTACTCACTGTACGTCGATGATCTGCAGATTTCTGTATCGTCTTGTAATCCATCCATATATTTGAACGTCGGCTCCAGCTCACAATCAACATCTTGGTCAAATGGGCTGATGTCAACGGTTTTAAATTTTCTCCTGAGAAGACCGTCTGTGTGAGTTTCTCACGTCGCCGCGGAGTTTTGCACGAACCTTCTTTGACTATGTGTGATGTTCCTATCCCAGTAAAAACTGAACACAAGTTTTTAGGTCTTATATTTGATTCCAAATTGACTTTTGTTCCGCATGTCAAGAGCATGAATATTAAATGTTTTAAATTGCTTAATATACTTAAGGTCCTGTCGCATGTGTCCTAGGGTGCCGACCGTCTTTGTCTCTTGCGTATCTATCAGTCGGTCGTTCGATCCCGACTTGATTACGGTTGTATTGTGTATGGTTCTGCCCGGACATCGGTTCTCAAAATGCTGGACCCTGCTCATCATCAGGGGTTGCGGCTTGCTACCGGTGCTTTTCGAACATCTCCTGTTCTCAGTCTATACGCAGAAGCAAACAAGCTCTCTCTGGAGAAAAAAAAGATCTGAACTGGGCTTCACATATTTTATGCGAATTAGCTCGGTTCCTAACCATCCAACCTTACACTGCATGGAACGAATACGCTACGAGCGAACCTTCAGTAACAAGCCTTCAGTTGTTCCACCTCTTGCCATGAGGGTTCGCCATTCTGCGGAGTCTGTAGGACTGGACGTGTTGCCTCCAGTTGTACAGTGTTTGAGTTCGGCAGCCCCTTCGAACCTAGTTCCCATTCAGTGCGAACTGGAGCTAACGAAATATAGCAAAAAAGACACTCCTCGCGAAGTCCTGTGGCAAGAATTCCTTGAACTCCAAGTACAGTATCACGACTGTATAAGTTTTTATACTGATGGTAGTAAAACTGATTCCTCTGTGGGTTGCGCAGTGATCGGGCCTGGGATGCAGCTTGTCCGGAGAATAAATGATAGTGCCTGTAATTTTACGGCAGAGCTCTATGGCTTACTCCTCGCCACAGGTAAGATCCTCAAACAAAACCTTCAGAAGTCTATTGTTTACACCGACTCACTTAGTGCTTTACGAGCTCTTGCCAGAGTGGGAAATGATCGCAATCCACTTGTAATAGAAATAAGGAACAGGCTAATTTCAGCCGCAAAACGGAAGAAGAAAATAATATTATGCTGGGTTCCTTCACATGTCGGAATTGCCGGAAATGAGGATGCTGACAGAGCAGCAAGTACTGCTAAGGATCGAGAAGTCGACCTGTCGAAAATACCTTACAGAGACTATAGGCATGCTCTGAAATTTTCCATAAGACGCAAGTGGCAAGAGGAATGGGAACGAGAAATAAACAATAAGTTGCGCGCAGTAAAACCACTACTTCAGGAATGGGAGAGTGCACGACACCGCGAGCGTTTTTATGAGGTGGTTTTGTGCCGACTGCGAATTGGTCATACCCGTCTTACCCATGGGCATCTTTTGCGTGGGGAGGATGCTCCGGAGTGTGAACACTGCTACATTCCGTTAAGCGTCCTACATATCTTACTTGTATGCCCTTTGTATGACCAAGAACGCCACAGACACTTTGCTAAGGTTTACCAAGAGCACGCACCATTACATCTCGCCCTTTTACTCAGCGATTAGCCGTTGATTCCACACAAATGTGTTTTCAACTTTCTTAAGGATACAAGACTCCTGGACCAGCTATAATTTTAATAGTTCATCGTATTCATTGCTACATCTTATGCGCTTGTACTTTCATGATCATTGTTTTATTAAATTACAAGCTACTATAGCTCTTTCTTCTCTTCAACCTTGATTAAGCAATAGTCCTAGTTGTTGGCGCATTATAGCCTTGGTCGCTGCTGCGCCATTAAACCCCAATCAAACAATCATTTTGGGTAATGTGTTCGGGAATGAGAGCGGTTGGAATCATTCTGTCGGGATTTCAATCTAAAGGTGGCATTTATTTTCTTAAAGGTTGATCTCAGATACCATGTTGAGAATAACTCGGACCAGTGCTAATTGCTCGTTTTTGGTATAACACACACAAATCTTAAATAGAAGGAACCTTGCATTCCTCTCGAGAGTCACCTGCTTGCCCATCACTTTTATTCCTTTATAATTACTTGCACTTACATGGTGGCATTTCTTTGACTGAATACACAACGCACGCTTCTCCGACAAAATGGACGGTCAGTGTATATTTGCCTGTAGGAAAAAAAAAATTATGATTCGTTAAAAGTTCCACTTTATTTTAATAATATTATTAAAATTAAAATATTACTACGCATCGTTTCGCCTCTGTGCATAAGACAATACTATAATCAATGAACTCATGGTGAACACTGAGCATTATCTAGGGTCTAATGTCATATCATTCCATTATTTATTTAGACACTTATCTAAAATACGTACAATATAAATTGCTACATAATCTTATGCGCCTTGGGGGCATCCAGGTCTGCGACAATGCTTGGTCAAGTGTAGACGACTTAAGAATAGCTTATACACTGTCACAAACATTTGTATTGTATCGCAGGCGTTTCTCGTGTCAGTATCGTTGTAAAACGAACTTTTATGCAAATTCGCGCTCTACCAGACATGTTTTTTTCTTTTTTTTAAATATTCGTTTACCATGCAACATTTCACCACTTTCTCGGGCCCAGTCACTCTGTAAAAATGTCGCCCATCCGGATGTCGACATCTAGGGGTCGACCTCTGTGTTCCGACGTTTGTTGAGTAATCCGCGTTTTACTAACAAAATTCCATTTGCGTGCGTTATATTTTTATTAGTGTGTCTTTAATGTATTCATTTGTATTTTTAATCTTTGTTCCTTTCTTGTAGTGTTCTTATTTAAGTCCACCAATCTAAATATCACTGTAAGAAAGGCCAAAATGGTCTTCCGGACGGTAAGGCCAGAAAGGGGACAGGTGTTCCATTCGGGTTTCGGGTATCTCCCTGCCGGGGCACTGGGGGTTAGGGCTCCGCCCGAAGGCACAGCCGCGTGCATCGCGCCCTGAAAAACGTGTTCGCGGAAAAAGACAGTTCCTGGAGCACTTCTCAGTCTCCGCCATCTCACGACGTCTGGAATGGGAGCTACCCTCCGTCACACTTCCTCCGTGGGGATGCCGTGCCGTTCATTTACATCCCTTCATAGTCTACAGTCACTGACATTTTTAGAGACACAAGACGTGGCTTATTATATTTATGCTTCTTCTTTTGTTATTCGTTCGTCGGTGTTCTTACCGGCTAATGCCAAAATTTGTTTGGCCGGGAAGCGAAGATAGAACTCGAGACTCGCCACGTTTTGAGTTTCTTAATCTGTCAGTGACCATAGTTGCTTATCTCTAATTCTGATATATTAAGAGCGTCAAATATAGACGTTTTCTGTCGTCCTCAGTCGCGTGGGTTTCGTATCTGGTATGCGGAACAAAAAAAATAAAACATATCAACCTTAAATATGCGAGAAAATATAGGTGAGGTAAAACAAAAATGTGTGACCATCTCCCATTTTTCGTAAACGCCTTCCAGCGACGTGGAGGGATCAAAACGATGCTTTGACTTTCCACGCGAGAAGTGATGACATGCAAGATGGTTGCTCCCTTGTGAAAAAGGTGTACACAAGCAATCAGAAAAATGGCTTACACACGCCCAGCCTTCGGTTCCTGGTTTCTCGTACGTGTGTGTGTGTGTTCTTAATATAATAATTATATAAGAAGGTATAACGCACGTCTGTAGATGTGACGTTCACTTTGACCACTTGGGTATATGTGTCCGTGTGCCCTTTTTGGGCAAACCTCAAAGCGTTACGGAGCTGTGGACTGGGGAATGGAATGGGAGTGGACTGGGGACTGAAAAGTAAGGTGTCCTACCAGCTGCTTGTTTTACCGGGACTAGGAGTAGCGTGCTTGCTTTTAGTTGGCGAGAAACGATACAAATATGACGTAGTCGCCCTCTTGATTTCTCAACAAACCAATAAAAACGTTTATAATAGATTAAATAAACAATCGTAGTTGATTATGTCATACCAATATGGAGTCCCTTAGAATTGTGTACCTGCCATACATGCTAAATATAAGTCGTCCCTTTACGATCGAAAATTGGGATTCTAGTATCATTGACCCCCCATAAAAGGCGTATTTAGAGGCGTTTCCAAATATCAATCAATGATATAATACACGATTTTAATACACACGGAATCTCATTCGAACTCATAATGATGTGGTGTTTGACGCGTCCCGTAAATATAAACTCTACAATCAATGGCATAGATGTTTTTAAAACGAATTTGAAACACGTTAAAAATAAAATGAGTTAAAGTAGCCATTATATTTTTAGATGTTTGTCTCCTGAACTTGGATATCGCAATTAAACAACAGATCCCTGCGAATTTTTAACTCACAATTACTTCGCTCCTAACAATAAAGCTGAAAGGAACATTTGCTCTGATGATTTTTAAGTTACCGTCATTCAGGGCTTCAGAGATATTTTAAATTCAAAAACCTCTCCAGATACTCTTTTTTACGAAGTTAGATTTTTACCAGTGTCAAACTAATTAAGCAATAAATATATGGATATCGTATAGAATTTATTCTGAGTCACCAAAGGGTTTTACGTAGAAATACATTGTTATACAAATTAATACCTTCTATCCAAAGGGAATATGTTCCACTCCGTATTATATATCCCTTTCAAGACAAAACATGAATCGTACAAAAACGCGGAAGCAGGGCAAAATCGATGAAATGAATTTGGAGTGACTTTTGTTTTCAGAACATTGTGGCGGTTTTGCTTGTTTGTGTGGCTTCAGTCGTTCCTAGCAAAACTAGCTTTCATCGTATATTCGAATCACTCTATAAAGATTAAAATTCAGTCTGTTCGGAATTGAACCAAATTGGTCATTCAGACAAAATGCATATTGTGTATATTCACAGAGAATCACTATTGGAGTTTAAAGCATTACCATCTTGTAAATGATCCTTGAGCATAACCTAGTCTAGACACATAGAGCAGAAAATTTAGCGCTCCGGGCCTCAGAATCATTGGTTTCGTTGTGTCACTCACCGCTGCTCCACCCCTCAGTGACGACGTCGCACTTCTTGGTTCGTCTATATGTGATCTTAACAAGAAACCTACATTCCGTATAGAACGTAGAGCACGCGTTAGAAACTGCGATACTAACGATACGTTCTCCTGCTTCCGCCGCGCTAAAGCAGATTACGCTCCTGTAACTTCTTCCCCAAGAACGGTACGCAGTAATCAGCAGCAATCAGGTGGTAGCAAAGAACGCTTCAACGGCTGCGCGAGGTACTTCATCGTAAAAACAAATTTAAGGGTTTTACGTGCCAAACCAACGCAGGAGGCTTCGAACGAAGAGTATCTGGAGAGCCCCAGCGGACGGCTGGGGCTCTTTTTCGACCCTCGGCAATTTTTGACGTTCAACCGAAATCTGAGTTACACGGCGCCTTCTGCGCACAGGTCCCTCTCGACTGGCGGGCACGTTGGCCGGGATTCGAACGCGCCACGTGGGGGAATTTGCAGGCTGGCGCCTTGCCTCGGAGCCACTCAGGTGGTTGCGCTCCACCATTGACAGTCCCTGCCGTTGCTCTTTGGGGAGGTAAAGATTACGAAGGTCGTGGTCTAAAGAAAGCTACATTGATACATAAATACCCGCTCTCAAAATGTTCCGAATGAATCCTACAGGCTAAAAAAAAGCTTTTGGATACGATTTGTTAGATCAATGGAAGAAGGGAACAATATAAATCTGGATTCCACAAAGCACGGCGGAAAAAGCGTGCAACGGGATGCTACAAACATCAAAACATCACTCATACAATAATATATCGAACGGATGACCGTCTATTAAAAAAAAAAAAAGCGGGCGCATATGAGACATAAGTTTACATCTTGTTTCTTCGAGAAGGAGAGGGAACGGCCTCGCGTCTTCTCCGCCTTGCCGCCTTGAGGGGGCGAAGCGAAGAGAGGAGGAAACAAGATATCTTGACGTCACGCGCGCCTCGTCGGCCTGGTTCAATCTCGACCTTTTTTTCCAAAAATACGGCCGTCTATTCGAGATATCGCCTTACGAGTAGTGTTGTAGAGATTGTAGCGTCCCGCCTACATCTCCTGCATTGTTTTTTGAAATCCGAATCCCGGTTCACCATTCCTTGAAAGAACCCCTGAAAAGAAAAAAAAAAACTTTTTTAGACAGTTTGGTTGGGACACGCGTGTCGAAAAATATATTTCATGCGAAAAAGACAAAGTTTAGAGCGAAATTGACGGCGAGAGATTTATTTGAAATACTTCACGCAAAGTTCATTACGTCACAGAATGGTCATTCGCTTAACAAGATGGTCATTCGGTCTTCCCACCTCAACGTAAAAATGAAGCCGATCCACCTCTTCTCCATCCGCCCAAAATTCCGATAAAGAAAACAAATGGACAGGAAGTGAGTACCGACAAACTCGCGTCTCGCGCCGTCAATATTGCTTTAATTTTTTTTTCCCCATAAAATTAATTTTTTGACCCGCATGTCCCACCCAGACCGTTTAAAAAAAATATTTGTTTTCTTGTTAGGGGACCTTTAAAGTGAGTGAATGTGCGAGCACGTTGTGTCTCTTCCAGTTTCTGGATATTTAAGCACACCAAAATAACGTTTTCGACCTCTTCTGCAGGTTAAGGATCGTGACATACGGTTTTAGTCGTAGGCTGTTTATTTCACTTCGCATGCACATTCTTACTACCTTGTCGTCTGAACTTATTTTAGTACGCATCACGCAGTCTACTCGGGATTGTCTCTGCTGGTAGGAAGCCTTAGTGGTGTAAACAACGTCTCTCTCTTCAAGAGCTTGAAAAAACTGTGGAAATAAGAACAAAAAGTGTTTGTCACTTTCCGGATAATCACAATTATGAAATAAACAAAACTACGCAGAAAACGTTCAGGGTTAACGCTTATTTTGAAATCATGATAAACTAAGTTTCGAAATGAACAAAATAAAAGGGGGTGAACGAGCTGCAGAAAGTTAACAGTAAACAGAAACCCCAGACTGGGGATGCAAGAGCACTACATGCACCGAGGCCTTAGGATAAGCACGCTCCGTAACATCGGGAAGGTCTGGAGCTTGCTGAAACTAAACAAGAAGAATGCCTCATAGGATACAAGGAGACTAACATAAAAAAAACAGAAACCACTACAACGAAAAGACAAAAAAGTAACAAAATTATCCGCTTTCATCAACGTTAAAACAAGAGACGAACGAGCTACGAACACCCAAAACAAGTCCACAAGTAAAAAAAAAAAAAGCTGTCAGCACATTTTATTTTTAATGTTCTATGCTATAATGCATAAAATGTATATAAGATGCGTTATTTTAAATGTTTTGTTGTAGAGATATCAGGGAGTGAAGAACATTAAATACCTTCACCGTTCTCTTGTCCTCTACAACCTCACTTTGCAGTAGAAGACAGTATCCGTGAAATTAACTGTTGCAGGAGACGTATTGGCATGAACTAGAGCCGGTGACAAGTTAAGAGTTAAAGCGAAGCTCCTCCCACCTTTTTCCGCTTGAGCAGAATGAACACTGGACGGGTGGTCGCATCCTCTCCGGTGCTCGCTCTGCTAAATACGAAAGAGGTAGGATGAGTTTTCCCTGAATTTTTAACACGACATCAACAATATTTAATTACAAGGACTTGTGTACTTTGTTTTGAATATGGTTCTATGGTACCGAGACTGGTTAGGCTAATATCCAAGTGTCATGAGGTATGCCCGGACTCACGGAGGCGCGGACTGACACATATGTGGGGTTATAGCTATAATTACAAAAAAAAACATTCAAGTTCTAAGGTCTACCTTTTTATTTATAATTGCGTTTGTTTAACAAGTGTTCGCTTGGCTCAAATATGTGTAATTTGTTACAAATTGATTACCTCTTAAAGCCATACAAATTGCTTAAAGATTCCGTACCTTAAATAGCCCCTCTGCCAAAGTAGCTCCGAGCGCCTTCGAAGGTATGTGCGCGGCCAGAATAGTACATACTGTCACAGCTGAAACGATACGCAGCATCATAACTCGGGTTAAAATCTGAACTTTTCCCGTAATCTCAGTTTTTCATCTTTGCACTTTTATTCTACGAAGCCTTACCATCTGACCGCATACATACGCTGCTGTTTTCGGTTTCTGGTTAGTTTAAGCATTTTTATGAAAAGAAAATACTTCCGTATATAACTAACCCAGCATCTTCCTGGGTTTTCGTAATGCTGAATGCTTTCTCTTTTGTGTATTACCTTTTAAACTTTCAATGCACTGCCATTAGAACATAAAAAGCAATAAAATATATTTACTTTTGAAAGAGGACTGTCAAACCTTAGAGTATTCAGTAGCTCTGGGAATATAATATAACATGCATTCTTCCATGAAATAGAACTGATATCTGGTGCTCCTGAACAGCTCCGTATTCGGTAGTGAAACGCTGAGGTTACAAATAGATCTGCACGATGTTTTTAAAATAAGTTTTATTTATTTTTCGTTGACAAGTTTGTTATTACCGCCCCCTAACAGCCAGTGCTTGTTGGGAGCGTGTGGGAGATTAACACGTTCGTACGCGACAAACGACAAACTATTTTGTGTGGCGGGCTAGCTGTTGCACTCCCGTGCGAGGTGTGACCTTTCCACAGATCCTAGCATAATATATCAGTGGATGACTGTGGGTACGAGCAGTTCGCTGTGGACTATGATTCATGAACAGTGCTAACCAACATCAATGGGGGCTGTTTTATCGTAGCTACCATATGCATGGGTTTAAGAGACATGAGGTTACTGCTCTGCTGTGCGAGCACCTACAAATATATGAACAGGAGTCAACTAGCCCAATTAGCCAGTTTGTTGCAATTTATTTCCTCTGAATCGGGCCCTTCTATAAGCGTTAACAATCACCTGTCCTCAGGGGCCGGGAAAGCAAGTTTAATGGCGCCGTCAATGTGCCCGGCTCACTTTACTCATACGCTATCAGAACTGGTTTCTGTCGCTGGATGTGCTGGTTTTGTTTGGGGGCACACCGCCTTCAGCGAGGCACGCTAAGAGAATATTCAAGATGATACGAGCGGAAATGTGGGGAAAAGTGACGAGGCACAAATATTGCTTGACAATCTGGTCTCATCGATCAAGCAGCAAACTAAAAGAGCGGCTGAGAGGAATTGCTGAGAGTGTCTGCAGCTTCGCTCAAAGACTACGGATTTCCTTGGTGAGGGACTCCGAGCTGCCCTTCCCAAGAAGGAAAGCCAGAGCGCCAGATCCTTCAGTGACGTCATCTTTCTGAGAGACTCTTCGGCACTCGAAAAGGTGACGGATGTGCTAGAACTGACACCTCAGTACAGCCTAGAACCCCGTCCCAAACTCACCGAGATGCTGCGCCTTGCGTGAGCCCTTGGGGAAAAAGCCCCGTCGGAAGAAAAGGAGAGGTATTTTTCCAAGGCGGTCGAGATACAAGTATGAGAAGCTGAGCGTGATTTTGAAGACCGGACCCGTGGTTTTCTTCTTTGTGGCCAACACGCTCAAGCTTCTGACGTCAAAAAAGAAAGGCGGCTTTGCGGTGCTCCAGGAGGGCCTCTTCGGGGAAACGTCCAGTACGCTCATTGCCAAAAAGTTCAGTCATGTGAAAGACGTATCACTAAATAAGACCACAGCAGAAGCTGAGGCCGTATGCCAAAGAGGCTGGAATTGTCAGGCTTCGCAAAGAGGATTCAACCAGCTAAGAAGATGAGCCTCTCTGTCCTTTTTACCGCCAAGATGCATAAACTCGACTGCTGAATGAGGGCTATTGTGACTGAAAGAATCTCGTGGAAAACGGAAGTAAGGGGCTACCTCTCAAGCACTCGGCTGGGCTGATCCTCAAGGACTCCTTTCTAGTTTGGAACTCTGATCCAGTGGTCAAGTCTGTTTGTTTAGATGGCCAACGTTACAGCGGTATGTTTTCATTAGATGTACAAGGCGTATTCTACTCAGTTACTCATGACAAACTGTTCCTTGCGGTCAGGCTTTGCATAGGTAAAAATGGTGAGACCTGCTTTAGGAATACAAGGGGTGTGAGCGCCAAGTTATTCATGAGACTTCCTGACGTTGTAACTGAGTTCTACCATTGTGTCGTTTCAAGATGATGTCTAATGTGACACTTTTGCCAGTGTGTGATAGGGGAATTCAGGGGTAAACATCCCGATAGCCTGTTAAGTTTTAGGTACGTTGATGATCAAGTGCTCGTGCCGCCGCTTGTTGCAACGGTGATTCGATCAAAACAAGTAAAGAACTGTTTTCTCTAAACTCACATGACCTCACATTGACCCACGAAATCATGGCATCAGGCAGGCTGAGTTTTTAGATTTGAACGTGACCTTTGAAAAATGAACATCCATGTTGGAAACACGTGCCGCGCTCGAAGAAGGAGGTTCTCCCATTCATTTCCGCACTACCGAAATTGGTTAAAAGAAAGATCGCTTTATCATTGATGAAAGCCTCACTTGACAATCGTGCAAACACGTTATGGGTGCGATTCAGCTATCAGGAAGTGTGCCTGGAAACTGCCAGCTATCCAGAACGTTTCGTGGTGGCAGAGGTCGCAGAAACCATTAGGTTAAGACTCAAAAAGAAAGAAGGAAGGGTGACCTCAAGAAGAAAAATGAGAGGTAATCCCATACGTGCGCAGGTTGTCCCACAACACCAAAAAGCTGCAGCACACTTTGAGGTTTCTATGCGGAGGGCAAGTTCGTCTGCTCCTTGCGCAGCGGGTAGCGGTGACAACAGAATGCCGAGCCCTGATTGGCTGATCGCGACCCCCTATCTGAGCGTCGTCTGCTTTCTTGCAACGTCGTCTGCTCGCAACGTAGTCTGCGTCTGTTTTACCTTTCCTGCGACTTTAGGAAGTGCAGAGGCCAGGTTCACAAAACGATCTTACGCCAAAACTATGCGTAAGACCAAATTTGAGAACGAATTCGTATTCACGAAACGAAATTTTCGTAAGTTTTGCGCAGGTTACGACGAAATCCTACGACAGTTCCGAAGCTGTCTTACGCCCTTCTTACGATCAAATCAGCATGGCCGACAGCGTCGCGGTCGCGACGACCAACGGACGTTTATTTTTCTACGTGCGCTTCTCACGCGTCCCGACTTCAAGCAGCAAGAAAAAATAAAAAGTACTTGTAACAGACCATGACGAACAAGAACGCTGGATCCACAAACACCCGGGAAAGGCTCCATCGGCCACCACTCCACCGACAACGACCAAGCGAGCACGGCAGATAGGCCTAGCAGGCACTCCGACTCTCACTATATGAAAATGACCCCGTCGTGCATCTCTCCGAGCGGTTAAAAGAAAACGTTCGAAAGTAAAGAATAAAGTACGTGGGCTACGAAAGGTGTGTTTTCTTATTATTTCCTATGTAGGGCAGTTTTTATCGCGCACCTGTCCTCTTGCTTCCCCCTATTTGCAAAGATTTGGAGCGTGCGGGCGATGATTTGAACACAGTACAAGCATCTTCGCACATATTCATGAGCATAAAGAATAAAGCAGTACTTATTTATTGAAAATCTGACTATATTACGTGACTTTCAACTTATTTTGATCGTCTGCAAGCACAAGGAGTTACTTACCCAGTATTACTGCGTAGTTCTTGCCGTCTCTCTTGGTTTTCCACATGTCGTTCGTTCGTTTGGCACGTATATCCCCCATGCTGGAAAGCGTCGACGCCGTGTTCGCGCTAACAGTGTCCGACAGTGCACATAAATACACGTGCGAAGCGGTTATAACACCGTTTTTAATGCCGCGAATTTCAAATAAAAATGCTGTAACTGACCAATTATTTCGTCTGCGTGACTGAGAAATGTTCCAATGTGCCTAGTACGTACAAATTATTCGTGATATTTGCTTTTATAATCGAGAAAATGCACTCGATTTTTCCCATAGAAATGCATTACCGGAAGTCAATTTCTGACTGCATGCTGTCTGCTTCAATTTGCAACAGCACACTAGTGCCAGCTGAGCCTCTAGCGTTTATTGTAATAACTCTATGCTCCGACTGGGCGAGCGTCTGCCCACGACCGGCTGGCGTGCTGAATGGAATATGCCCGCGCAACCCTTGTGAACCCTTCCCGTCTTATACTTTGATCCTCAATTTTAGATTTAGAGGTCAATCTTTTCCTCTTGTCATCTCTTTGTTTTCCGAGGCAACGGTGTCTCTCGCCGGTAAAAAAGTGGTGAATCTCCGACAGAAGCAGGAAAGGTAAAGCAGCCATCGCTTTGACTAGCAGACGTAAAGCAGACGACGTAAACTGCGCGAACCCGCCCACGCCGTTAAAGAGTGAGGAGTCTCGCCGCACACGAAAGGAGGGAAAAAGTATTTGGGAGGGAGCTTGCGGACACTAACCACCCTCACCTCTTGGTTCTTAGCAAACAAACCTCGGCGCCTCGGGACACCTCGCCAGTGAGTCCTTTGACTTCCCTCCTTGATGCGCGTCTGCTAGTTGTTAGACAGAAACAACGTACCGCACGAGTTATTTTGTCTGCCCTCTCTCAAAGGCGAAGTCGAGTTCGCTCTGAAAGTCGCAGGAAAGGTAAGACAGACGGAGACGATGTTGCGAGCAGACGACGTTGCAAAGGAGCAGACGACGCCGAGATAGGGGGTCGCGATCAGCCAATCAGGGCTCGGCGTTCTGACGTCACCGCTACTTCCTTTCTCATACGCAGAAGACGAATATGAGCTCACTTGCGAGGCGTATTGTTTTGTCGGCTCCAAACAAACTAAGGAGCTGTGCTCAGAAATCAGTAACAAGATAGGGGCGAAAATGCCATGGGAACAGTAGCACGCTACAAAGTTCGTTGACTGCGCTACATCAGTGGTCTACGATGTTCATATGACATGCGGGAATTTGTACGTGAACCAGACGAGGCGCTGCATTAATGATAGGTCGCGCGACCACGCGTTATCAATCAGAAATTCTTCCTCGGGCAATCTCGCCGTTCTCTGGAACAGGCTCCCCTGTGCACCGAATCTCTAGAGAATAAGAATTTTTGGGAA